AACCAACTAACCAACTAACCAAACAACCAAACAACCAAACAACCAAACAACCAAACAACCAAACAACCAAACAACCAAACAACCAACCAACCAACCAACCAACCAACCAACCAACCAACCAACCAACCAACCAACCAAACAAACAAACAAACAAACAAAACAAACGACAAAAAATCACACACACACACATGCATGATTGAGGAGCAATGCACCAATCAACTTGCAGAAACATGGACTCAACTCAGGCGTTCGCTCCAGTACTTCGGATTAATCCGAACATCGAAAGGGTACAGCACAAGGGGAAACAGAGTGCGAATCCTGTCAAGACCCGAGTAGGGGATGGTAGGGGTCTTTAGAGGGTATATGGCGGGGAATTTTGATGGAGAACTTCACACAAATAGTTGGACACACATCCTCCTGTGCATTTGATGTCCTGCGAAGGGTCTAACCAATCATCTTTACATGAAGGGTATTGCCGCTGCCACTATGTACACAACAAGAACAATTCCGTGCATAAATACCCCAACGGTCCAACCGTATGTCCGCCTATATATAGAAACCATCAAAGAGGGAAATCCTCCGCTGGCCAAATACTGTTGTTTGCAGAATTTGCAGTGTTTGCTGGTGTATATATATATATACAGCCCCAAAGAGGAATTCCCTGGCCTCGGCCAGCATGGCAGTGATGTCATTCTGGTCCTGCGAGAAAAAAAAAAACGGAAAAAAAAGAAGAAACAAAAAAAGGAAACAAGAAAGAGAAAGCGAGTGGGCAGTGGGCAGCAACGCAAGGGACTGCGAATTCAAATCGAGACCAGGCGCTCACAGAGAGATCCCCAATTCCTTGGCTTGAAGCTCCCCATCTGTCTCGGGGCTCCTATGGGTGTGTTTCCTTAGTTGGACCCCCCATTCTTGGAGGCTTTCCTTGGGCTTTCAAGCCAACTTAAAAAGAAGAGAGACAGCCCCAACCGCATCCCTCTCACAAAAAAGAAAGGACTCACTTGCTGAGTGGATGGCCAAAAAACAGTCCAAACTTTTTATTTACCACTAAAATGGTCTTCCCAAAAAGTTTAAAGTTCATGAAGTCAGGAAGTGAGAGGGAGAGAGGAGAGCCAATCAATAAATACATTCCTGAACTGGCAGTGTTCCACTGGACCATTGTCCACCCGTTGCGGAAATTAAGACAATTCGGGGTGGGGATCATCAGGATTGTGCATGAACCACACATCCAAAGGATCTGGACGATAGTATCAAATTCTCAAATCCCCTGACACCGGGAAGCAAAAGGTCAAAGGATTCCATCAATTGACTTTGGGCAACTCAGAAACCATGCGGGAGACCAAGATCCAAGCAAACCACGCATTCTACGGGAGCGTCACGGGTTTCAACAAATCGCACGCATGCTCTGGCGGTTGCCGTGAAAACTCTTGGCATCCATGTATCTCTGTGTGTTTCGTTTATCCCTTCCCAAAAAGAAACAAGCAAACACCTTTAGTGGCATATCCTATTCATGCCCCCAAAGTATACTCCATAAGTGCAAGGGTACTTTGGATAAACGAAATCCATTTCGCACCACCGTTCAGAAACCCTGGAATGTTGATTCCCAACCAACCGTGGTTTTCCATGGTTTGCAAGAGGTGCGAAATGGATTTCGTCCACCCACAGTATGGCTGGCTGAGCTGCCAAATTCCTCCCAGCCTTTAGACACCTGCCAGCTCGGAGCCGCAAAGACAACTCGGTGCGTCTGACGGGTGTTGCGATTTTCACGAGTCGACTCAAAAGGCGTCGATGTCCAGAGACCCAAAGAAGCCCAACAGGCCGAAGACGTCGAAAAGACTCAGAGCAAGCTCTTCGAATTCACTACGCAATCCCCAAGAGTAGCTAAGGACCTTATGGGTACGCTTCTAGGTGTGCGCTTTCGAATTTGTCCAGAATCCCCGCACCGAATCTGATTCAGAGGTCCCTGGCAGCGCTGGGTCGACCCGGGAGCGAGTGAAGGCCACGGAACAGCCCTCCCCGGCGACTTTATGGGAACGAAAAGAACTGCTTGTAAAAAGGAGCCTGTCAACTAATCCATGTCTATTTAGCAGTTTTGTCTGTCCATCCATTTGGCCAACAGTGGTTTAGCTTAGCCAACTCATCCATTCTCCATGTCTAAGGGGCGAAGAAAAAATGGATCCTTGGCTTCACCAAACCGTTCTCGCTGTCTCGCAGGCGTTCCAAGGAAAAAGGTCAGCATTGGCAAAGAGCTTTCGCTGTTGTGGGCATCAAGGCAGTGGGTCAAAAACAGATACCCACCCTGCTAAGTCCAACGTGCACTAAAAACCTGCGGAGTGCCAATTTCTGGTGGTTCAGTTTTGAGCCATACCCGGCTGGAAAGACGAGAAACCAACCAACCAACCAACCAACCAACCAACCAACCAACCAACCAACCAACCAACCCACCCACCAACTATCCAACCCACCAACCTCAAAAGGCGAGCAGCAAGCTTTTGGTTTCGACTTCCCCAACGCGTTTCTTCTTTCAAGAGCCCCGCGGGTTCTGCCCACTCAGCCCTCCTCACGGCGCGCGGGGTTCAAGTTCAGCTGCGCCAACGCCTGCGCGAGAAAAACGTCGCCGCAACACCCCCCCGCCCCCGGGTTTTTGGCGGTTTCCCCATTGCTTGATTTGGAAACCACCAAAAAGGAAAAGGTTGGTAGTTGAAGGTTTTTGGGTCTGCTGGTGCGATAGAAGGAGAAATGGCATGAACCCCAGAAAGAAAAAAAACATCCAACTGGCGGTTTCCTTTAAGGGGATCCCACAACGGTTCATTTTTCCATATTCCCTACTTCTCGCACCAGCAAGCTTGGTGGTTTGGATAGCTTGAAGGTTTGGATTGGTAGCTTCCCTTTTTCTCCTCCACAGGACCGATTCCCGGTGAATTTATCTCCAAGCCGCCAATTTCCAAACCACTTGAGGGGACCCTGACCCCTACACCCCTACACCCCTAAACCCCTAGGGTGTTGTCACAGTGGTGCCTTGGAAGGGGCAGGGCTGTCACCGGATTTCCCCTTCACAAGTTGATCAATTGACTGGTGGGTTCCCTCGAAACTGCCACTTTTGGATCCAAAAAGGGAATAGGAAGCCTTGAGGGAGGGTCTCTTCCCAAAAATCTGTCACTGGCCGAAAGAACACGATGGGCTTGCATATTTGCTGTCGGGAAGTTGACATCCCTTCACTGCCTGAGTGGTTTTGTGAACAACAAGCGTGAACTTGTTTTGTCTCACGCTCAAATGCATCACCATTCCCAAACAAGTGTTTAACGCCCAGAAACGAAGCAAGTCACTGTTCGCAAGAAGGGGCCCTTCTTGTCCCCAAAAACAAGGCACACTCTCCATGCTTGATTCACCCACAGCAAACATCACAGCTGCATCTGCAGAATCTGAACCCCCGAAGGCTGTTGGAAGTTGGTTCCAATCGCCCCATACTCTGGGAGCTATGCTGATTTTGTCGATCTGGGGATGGCGTTCTGACTGAAAGCGATTTTTTTGGGCGCCTTGTCGGAAGTACAGATCGCTCCCTAAGTTTGGTGGATTAGAATTGATGCTCGTGCGAGTTTTTGCTGGCATGCTTTAGAGAATCAAACAAACGAACAGTTTCAGACTGTATCCCTTTTCGTTCCTTTTGCAGGACCAAACAATCTGTGAATGCTGTAAGTCATAAGGGATTCCCAAAGAAGGGACCTTCATCATTGGCAGTTGCCCGGTGACCCTCCTGGAAGGACCCCCTTTCTGCTGCAAAGTCGCCAAAACAAACAGGGAAACGGGAAATCCTGGGGTGAGGCTAGACCCATTTGAACAAGTCCCTTGAAAAAACAAAGATATGTTCAGTATTGATCGACCCCATTTAAAACCAACAGGGATACAGAAAACAAGCACCCAGGAAGCATATTTCCAGTAATGAAAAAAACACATGCCTCTCAAGCAAATAGAACCAGCTACCTAACGTACGGTACCACCCCCTTTTCCCAGCCCCCCACCCCCCCAACCCACGTGGCATGTTCGACTCGCCGCCGCGCGGCCGCCTGTGCCGCCGCGGCCGGGGAGAGCGTCGCGCCGCGGCGGCCGTGGGCGAAGGCCGCCTCCAGCTCCTTCCGCTTGCTGCTTCGCCCGCTCGCTGCTTCGCCCGCGGGCCGCGTTTTTCGGGGGAGCAGAGGTGCCCAGGGCCAACCCTGGGTTTCGCAGATTCTCACCTGGGTTATCAACTATATGGGACAACAAGAGTGTTTGAGCCATGGTCAAACTTCTTTACATGCTGTGGATGGAGGCAAAATCCCCTTCTCGCAACTTCTAGGCAACCCTGGAATGATTCGATTCCCCTACGTAAATACCAACAAACAATGGGTTCAGTTTCAAAGTGGTGCGAAATGGATTTCGTCCATCCACAGTAGCTGTCCTCTTGATCGCTTTTGCTTAGAAATAGATGGGTTCCGCTGGTTTCATTCCATTTACCAGGGCCATCTACTTTTCCAAGGTTAGCTTGGTTTGGTTATAAATATAGATGGGTTCCACTGGTTTAAATTTCTACTGGTTGATTCCAAGCACTCTTGTCAACCATCGTTCTTTTCAGAAACCGATCGCCGTTTCTGGGTGCTTGATGGTTTCCTGAAAAGAAGGATGCCAAAAAGCATGGGAATCACCACCCCCAAGCCTACCCCCCAGGGGTTGAATGGGATAGGCAGCCATATACTTCCACCCTTTCAAGGGTATTGTACGCTGAAATTAGTGGTTTGCGGGTATTTCACACCATCTTAGATCTTAGCTGGCTCATTGGTAAGTGGGTCTATGGAAATCCTTTGCTCTTTTGCTCGTCCCTTAAACCCAGCCAGTAGGGAAGGCCCCAAAAAAGGCAAAAGAAAACCCCTGTCGGGTGGGAAAAAGGCAAGGAGCTAAGATAAGTCTGACCGGCCGTGCCGGGCAACGTGCCTCAGAACGGACCCCCGGCACGCGCGCGCGCGAATTCTCGTTTTTTTCGGTCACAAGGAGCTGGACACGAAGGCGAGGCCACGCACCTGGGCCAGCGAGACAACCCTTTTGAGTTCCTGTCAACATCCGACAAAAAAATCTCAACAGCCCTCCCCCCCTAGGGGTACTCCGCAACCCACGAATCCAACTAAGGGCTACCTCCCAAGAGACACATTCCATGGGATCTGAAGATCTGCCGCCCACCCCCGCGCTTGGGCCAAGCGGAAATGGCCGCGGTTCGAACTTTGAGAACCTCTTGGGACGGCCGCCGCACTTGAAAAGGTACTCCCTGAGCATTAAACATCATTGGAAGGACCAGTCCCCAGGAATTTCTTTTCTGGATGCCATGAAGCAATCATCGGAAGACGTGCCGTTCGGAGAATGCTGCCGTTCAAAGTGGTTCAAAATCCGAAGCAAATAGGGTACGGCACCTATGCTGGAAGAAATCATGCCACAATTGATATTTGCTGGGACCCTGGCCACATGGCCGCGGACAAATGCAGGGCAGGGGTATGTGGACTATTTCACTACCGGGTTGCAAACAAATGGACGCCCGAAGATCGTACTTTGCACTTATGGGGTGCCATGATTTGAATAGTCAGACCTTGTTTTGTTTGTTGGGTGGTTGGCCAATGATTTGCATATCGTCTCATCTCGGTTGCTTTCTGCTCCCCTGCTGAAAGTCTAACTTTTAGTGGTGAATCCCTTAGTTGGCAAAAAAACAAATCAAGTCCTAACATCCAAGCAACATGCAAAGTAAAGAGAGAGCCAGGCCTAGCCGGAGCTAGTGCCGGAGCGGGGGGAAAATGTGGGTGACAGAAAACGCCCCTTTCAGGACCCCCAGCCGCCCGCCCCCCCTCCGAGCTCCGCCCGCTCCGCCCGCTCCGCCCCAGTCCGAGGCGCGCTGAGGCCGATGCCCGCGGCGCCCAGCGCCGCGCGCGCCCAGCCGCCGGCGGAGGCCTCCCCCGTGCAGCTCAGCAGCACCTCCGGGCCGCCATTGCGCGGCGCGGGCGTGGGGTCCAAGGAAAGCCCGGAAGAAGAGGGGGAGGGGGGGGGGAGAAGAGGAGGGGGAGAGGGGGGGAGGGGGAGAGGGGGGGAGACTGAGAAATGCTTTTTTTTGGAGTAATTTTTGATATTTGTCTAAGGCGAGTTAGCTCTGGGGGTCCCAAATTTGGGCAGGGGGGTATCCCAAAAAGGGGGGTTGCTATGTGGGGGGTAAACAAATGTGTACTCTGTGTTCTCGGGGTCAAAAAAGGGGGTAGCACAAACATGGGATGAAGAAACATGGGGGTGAAGAAACATGGGGGTGAAGAAACATGGGGGTAAAAGCATGGCGGATCCAGCCTTCATCCGAGCAGTTGTTCGCTCGTAGGTAGCCAGCCAAGCATCCATCCAGGGGACGTCAAACATCCAACAGGGATATTAGACTTGGCTGTCCTGAGATCCCCTGCCAAAAGTTTAGCTGTTCAAGGGTTGAATGGACACCCCGACTAAACCAACTCAAAAAAGTAAAGCGGCGAGTGCGTTTCCGAACGGCATACGTCAACAGAGGCTTTGGCCAAAGTTTCCTCCACTCTATGCTTCAACTACTGCAACACGCGAAATCAAGGAACCTCTGTGAGGAAAAGCCATGGCAACATGTAGGGCTCCCTGAATTTCTGCTTTAGACATCGCCCCACAGGACCTTCACTTTCAGTTGGGCCCCCAACAACACCAAAAGCACGGGCCCTTCACTTGAAAAGGACCAAGAGGACCGAGGACCCTCACTTTTCATGGCAAATCCCCTTGGGCATTCCAGGAAACGAGCTGGAGCGGAGCTTTTATCGGCTGAGCGCCGCGCATCCCGCAGGGACGGGTCCGCGGGGCAGTGGTGGGTGAAGATCAGCCAGGTCCAAACCTCGTGGGGAAACGAAGTTTAGGAATTGATCGGGGAGATGAATATGGGGGTGTCTTTTGGGGGACATCCCCTTTTTCGGTGGTAGAGAAAACCAGGAGCATAACAATTGTGTGGGGTGTTTACGGGACCGGACAACCATCAAGAAACCCAACTTTGTGGGGGTGTCTTTTAGGGGACTGCGCAGACTCAAAACAGTTCGACCCCACTGGGCCTGCGTACGTAGGGGTTTATCCTCTGGATGGACGAAATGCACCACTTTGAAACCATGGGAGACCGTTGGTCGTTTGTATTTGTCATCATTGCAGGGCTTCTTAGGTGGTGCAGGAGTTCGTCCATCCAGAATATGGGGGTGTCTTTTAGGGGACGCCCCTTTTGCGGTGGTAAAGAGAAAACCAACAGGTTTTAAACAACCAATTGCGTGGGGTGTCTTGTATAGGGGACCCCCCTTTTGACTTTTTGGTGGCTTTACCGGAAAACCCCCAGGAAAGCCACAACTTGGTGGAGCCCACAATACCCAACGCTGGGCCTTTCCCACGCCGAGCCGCGCAGCCGGCCGTGAGCCCGTAGAATGCCACGCGCCGTAGAATGCCGTTGCCGCTGGAAACCCGTACTGCGTGAGTCGAGTCGGCGAGCGAAGATCTGGAGAGCGGAGATCTCCCTTGGCCCTTGGAGCAATCCACCTCCATGGCCAATGGAGGTTTTGGGATTTTGATGTTTTGCAATGGGTCAAAAGCTGGTGCAAGTGCACCTACCAAATGGTGCCATTGGTGTTGACCCGCGGCCATGCTTTGGCATGAGGCTTCAGTGCCTACCACACTGTAGATAGCGTGGAAGTCGTAAAACAGGCACCTTCTTCTAGCTGTTTCTTTTGGGGAGGGGAGTTGGCCAAATACATGCATACATGCATATTCAACCTTCATTTTCTTAAGCCGCCTGGAAAACACACTTTTTTCCAGGTGTGATAGATTCCTTTTAAAAAAAAACAACAAGGACACATTTTCTTACGGAAATGGAAGCCGCTCTGCCTCCTAACACGGCACTGAAGGGAGGGGTACCTGGAAGATCGGATTCCTCGAGGGATCCGGTCCCTGTCAGGTGCCGTGGGCGAGATGGAACAAAAATAACTTCAAAACCATCAGGAGCCCAGGCAAAAGAACGCATCCTCCGAAAAGCGTGGAATGCGCGCGTGCTTGAATGTTCCACCCGCTTAGCAAGTCAGCTGTGACGCTGGGTAAATGTCCACCAACCCCTCTCGCCCCATTTATAGTTACTTATAGGCTACTTATCAGACTGGGTTAAACATCCACCTGGGATGCTCCAACAACGTCCACGCGGGATGCTCCAACCTGAGTCTGAGTGACTGATTGGAATGCTCCACTTGAATTTTGTCCTCCAGACCCCCCCCCCCCCTCCCGCTGACCATGGGAAAAAGGGGCTCCCTTTCTTTTGGGTAGCTGAGTTTTAAAAGGGACACCCCTCCAAAGAAAAGAAGAACACAGGGCGATGCTGGATCTTTGGGTCTGGCCTTGTAACGGCTCGAATCAATGGCCTTGATCCCAACCTCGTCGCAAGCAGCGCACCAGCGCCGTGCACCAATCCTCCTGAGCCGACAACAACGTCCATCGCTCTTAGCCCACCAAACGGGGAAGTTGGTGGGAGGTTCATTGGCCCAGACTGTGTCAACCTCCTGTTCTTTGCTTTCCCTCGAACCAGAGTTGAACCAGAGTTCTTGAAACACATTTTGCACGATCACAACCCTTCCGGTTTCTTAGGGACGGAGGTCCCAATTGACGTTGCCCAACCGTGGAACTGGAGAGGCCTTTTCAAGAGATTCGCACACCCTCCCGTCTAGACTCCCTGATTCCTGCCAACAAGGGTACCCATCACTAACATGGACCCTGACTTGAGGCCCCTGGAGGACTATGCTCCTCCATATTCAACATGTCCCTTTTATGTACTCCTTGGGCAAATGCACCCAAAAGGCCTGCTGATGTTCATACCCCTCCCCAAAAGGGGAAGAAGTGTGTATGGGTCAAAACTAAGCCACCAGACGAAACCGCAGGTTTGAGCCCTTTCCATTTATACCAGGGCAAGCCATTTTGGGTACATATTTTTGGCTATATACCCCATATGAAGTGGGTTGGAACCCAAGCCATGCACAAGCTGGGGTTCCATGCGGACCCGCATCCTGTCAAAGGTCTAGCACTGAGCAAAGCGCTCAAACTGGCGGACCCCCTTTTGCTTGGTATTTAAGGGAAAATCAAAAGGAAACACAGTTTGTAAGAATAGTTTGGTCTGGTTGCTATTTTTAGTCAGTCTTTGGTTGCTGTCTAAAAGGTTATCAACAGGTATTTAGCTTCTATTTAGGTTCACCCGCATCTTGAAAGAAAAACAAAATCACCCCAGGTGGCTTCACTAGGTCCTCCAGTAGAGAGGTTAGAATAAGGGTACCCTTTTTTTCTGCTGTCTATTTTGGTAGGGGAACCCTCGCCCAAGAAAGGGTGGAGGTCGACACCACTCAGCGGCGCCTGCACCGAGTAGTAGCCCCGGCACAGCTCGCATCTGTCTCCGCTGCGCTCGCGCCAGCGCTGCAGGCACTGCTCGTGGACCAGCGCCAGGCTGCCTACCGGGCAGGTGGGTCCTGCTTTTTCTTTTTTCCCCGGGGGTGTCTTATGTTTTTCATGGGTGGCGTTACAAGGAAACCAAAGAAAGCCATTTTGGGTGGTCCTTTTTTCATTGAGAGGGGGGAGGCTGTTTTTTTTGCGTGGGGCCAAGGTGCTAGATATGCGTAATACTGTTTGTGTTTTTGTTTGGAGAGTACCAGCAGCCAAAAGAACACCGACAATTTATTTGGGCGCCCTGTTTTAAGACACCCATATGAGGTGTCTTTTTGTTTAAACAGGTGGCTTTAAAAGGAAAAAGGAACACCGAAGCCATGTTGCGTCCTGCTTTGATTGAGGGGGGGGGGTTTGCATGGCGTTCAAAGGACACCAAAAGCAACACCGAAGCCATTCTGGGTGGTCCAACCTCAAAAAGACACAGCCTGCTCATTTAGGCAGACTTGAACCCAACAGTTTCCCTTGTGATGTCCCTTTTGGGAACAGCCTCATCTTGGTTTGACTCTATTCAGCAAGCAAATGTCGAAACCCCAAGGTATCACACCTTGGATGTTAAACCCTGGTGGATTCATAGAGGGTGTCACATCTCCGAGGGGAGCTGGATCACTTTTGGGGAAAAACACCCTTACTAAACTGCAATACAGTTTTGACAGCCACTGCAATCCTTAGGAAGTAGGTTATAACCATGATTACACACGGGACAGGGGTTGGTGACAAATAACCATGGTGAAAACTGTATCCGAATATGAAATGGATTGACCATCCTAGTGCAGAATATTAGTGAAAATCCGGCAGATTCCAGAACAACACCACACTCCGGTGTTAAGCAGGCAACGCATACTTATGATATCATAAGATCTTCAGTGAGTTCAGTTGTGGAAACTTGGTATGCTGCATCGTGGTGCCCATGTGCACCCCGCCATCTGAGTGATTGCGTAACTCGCGATTCAAAGATGTACGAGTCCCTATCGATGCACGCACTTCGCATCGAGTAGATGGGCCCAAGAAAATAACACCACTAAAATGGTCAAACCCAATAAGTAACTAAAGTCCAGAAACATTAGGAATTGAGTGTAACCATCCCGAACATGTCGTATCCACGAGAGGTAATGTATGGACAGGGTTCCCCCCACACACACACACACACACACACACACACACACACACACACACACACACACACACACACACACACACACACACACACACACACACACACACACACACACACACACACACACACACACACACACACACACACACACACACACACACACACACACACACAAGACACAGAGACACAGAGACACAGAGACACAGAGACACAGAGACACAGAGACACAGAGACACAGAGACACAGAGACACAGAGACACAGACACAGAGACACAGAGACACAGTGACACAGAGACACAGAGACACAGAGACACAGAGACACAGAGACACAGAGACACAGAGACACAGAGACACAGAGACACAGAGACACAGAGACACAGAGACACAGAGACACAGAGACACAGAGACACAGAGACACAGAGACTGAGAGACACAGAGACACAGAGACACAGAGACACAGAGACACAGAGACACAGAGACACAGAGACACAGAGACACAGAGACACAGAGACACAGAGACACAGGACACAGAGACACAGAGACACAGAGAGAGGCACAGAGACACAGAGACACAGAGACACAGAGACACAGAGACACAGAGACACAGAGACACACAGAGGCACAGAGGCACAGAGGCACAAAGGACACAGTCAGCACAGAGGCACAGAGGCACAGAGGCACAGAGGCACAGAGGCACAGAGGCACAGAGACAGAGGCACAGAGGCACAGAGAGAGACAGTCAAGAGAACACGCAAAATATCATGTGATTCGGGCACGAGCCTGTGCCCAGGCAATGGGTTAGTTGGGGTAAACAAGCCACAAAAGAAAGGTTCCCCAAAAGCAAACCAATCCCCGGTCCCAAAGATCAGGGTTTCCCACACACCAGAGAACAACAACCAAAAGGAAACAAACCAAACAAGAAAAGGGTTAACCCGCAACCTTGGTCGACAACAGGCCGCACGACTGGTCCCTACCAACCTGGCGGCGGCCCGAGGTCTCTTTCTCCCCCGAGATGCCGTCGGTCGACGCAGGGGTTCGGCGACGCCCATTCGAGGCGCGACGGAACCCAAAATCTTGAGCCAAACACCACAGGTCGGTCACTAACGCGACGTTCCTGATGATGATATGAACCATGGCTAATCACACCCCCCTCACGAGGAGCCCGTCATATGACGGGTGGAGCGTGCCATTTACTGATAGGATTTAACTGCTCGCATGCGTCCGCAAACAGCTGGACACTACCGCCGTCAGCGGTGGAGCAAACCCACAAAGGCAGTTGCGCGACATCCCGGGCATTAAATTCCCGCCACCACCCCGAATTAATCGGGGTAACGCTGTCCAACAAACCTTGTGGAAAAGTCCACATGACGACACTAGGTCACAACTGTTTGCATCAACAATGCAAGAAGTTTAATTCTTATCAGAAGCCATGAAATAAAAGATAACGTATGTCCATTAGTACCCTCGCCTAACGGCAAGAGGTACTCCTGACCATGCGTACCTGAATAAAAATGCTTGAATTCAGCAAACCCGGGAGTAACCCCCCATCAGTTTGCTTTCCCTCTCACTCACACTGCTCCCTGATGAACACGTCCAGCAGCCCAGCAGCGGTATGGGAGAGACATGACCTCCGCGCCTCAGCGGTCCGGGAGGAACATCACCACCTCCGCACCGCGCCGACCATTGGAGAATGGACGCAAGCCTATCGGCCGCAATCCTCGTGACTCAGCCTACCGGCTATCGTCACGTCTCCTCCGGTCACGTCCGCCCCGCGCACGGTCCCTATCACGATCCCTCTCGGATCTCCTGCGATCATCTCGCCTTCGATCTCGCTCCCGATCGAGTGATTCATCATCACGACGATCACGAGCATCGTCCCTCCTCCGGTCTCGCTCATCCTCGCGCCGTGGACGGTATCTGCGCCTCCTTGACTCCCTGGAATCCCTGGTGTCCACGGTCCTAACGGACCTCCGAGAAGGAGTACGGGAAACATCCGATTCCCTACGCCTCCTCCCAGATCGAGAGTTCGTCACGATCTGGTTGAGAGCCTCCAGTGCCGACGCGTCCTCACCATTCCTGATGAAATCCCTGACCTGCTTGTTCAGCACTCTGTTGGTGGAGATCGACAAGAAAGCGTCCACCACCGAACTCTCAGGCAGCACCAGAAAGTGACCCTCCACCGGGCTCGCCGCGGCCCGCTCAGCAGACTGCAGCCGGATCTCCCCGCCTTCAGGCTTCTTTGCCATCGCCTTGGAGGCCGTCAAAGGCGCTACCGCATCCTTTGCCGAAGATCTGCCAAGCGCGGAGTGAAGATCATCCCCGCTAGCTTCTCTCGCTGCCGCACCTGGTCTGCTGTCGACGTCGCCAGGCCTCGTGGACGCCTCCCGCTTCGTCGACTCCTTCGCAGCCTCGTCGGGATCCCAACGGGATTTCCTTTCTCTCTTCTGCCCTTCGGCCGACCCGCGGCTACCGCCGGGAGCGTCACCTCCGCCTGTCTTCTCCTTCTTGACCTCAACCTTCGGTTCGGCCTGCTTCGTCTCCTTAGCCACAGCTTTTGGAGCCGGAGCACTCTTCGCCTCAGATGCTGAAGCAGCCTTCCCTCTCGGCTCGGCCTTAGGAACCGGGGTCATTTTAGCCTTAGCACTCGGCCTGGCCCCTTCAACCACCATCTCGGCCCAAGACTTCTTCGGCTGAGCTGCTGCTGTATCAACCTCCATTGGAGCAGGTCCAGCATCATCCTTCGCCTTTGGGACAGATGGGCTACCGCCCTTACCAGATCCTTTACCTGGCACTTCACCTGATTTTGGTGGTGGGCCGGAAGGACTACCGCCCTTACCGCCCTTTTCCCCTTTCTTCCCTTTTCCTTTTCCGCCCTTGGGGACCGGCTCCTGCTTGGGACCAGGACCCGGCGCAGCATGATGCACCGATTGGAGTCCCTCGATGTCCACGTTCAATGGTTCGGGTTGACGACCGTCAAGGACCGTCCTCACCCTTTCGTCACTAACGTAGACGAACGGGTCACGGAAGGGTGCGGGAGGCTCCGACTGTCCGGCGCTGATCGCCTTCTGCACCTTGGCTATCGCCTCCTTCAACCTCTTCTTCTCATCGTACCCTGTCTCCGATACCATGTACTTCCTGAGCTGCGAGATCAACGCATGACTCTCCAGGATGTCCACGTCCTTTCGATGGGTCGGGTACAATGGGGTCAGATGACCAGCCGCAGAACCAATCACGTATGCCATCGGAATATAGAATGACAAGTACGTGTCATGACGAGCGAACTTCCTAACGGAAGTCGTCATACGCCTACCCCACTGAGCAGCGTGTCTTGGGTTGGCCCGGAAGTACTCCGTGACCGACTCAAATCTATCGACTTGGTTGGTCTTGATCAGGTGCTTCGCCACCCACTTCTCCACAAACGCATCCGAGGCCGAAATCCCGGACACATAGGAGAATTGGAAGAGCACCTTCGCCAGCTCATCCCACGCCGCATCGACACCTCCCTTGTCTTCACCAAGATAAGGGGGAAGTCTGATGCCGCTCTGCACCGTCATCCTCAGATCGGATGCCATTGAATAGGAAATCAAATTCCTCTTGATGACTCCGACCACTTCGGAGGGAATCCTCCTGGGCTTGAACTGCCCCATGGTCCTCACCCACTCCGGCACGATGTGGCACCTTTCGAAGTCCTTTTCCTCCGCGTTGGGGATAAAGTTCGGGTAAAAGACCGGGAGCGCGCACCCGGGACACAAGTGCATCCCATTCGGCATCAATTCTGCGCACCTCAAGCAGAACGTGGCAGTCACATTCAGCCTGATCTCTTCCCGTGATCGCCTGTGCTCTCCCCTAACGGGGGTGAAGTCACCGTAGTCCCATGCCCGATGGTACACT